TGTTGGGCTTCCATTAGCTTTTTGAATGTTGCGTTTAGATACAACAATGAGATGTGGCGCTGTCGAGTGTGGCATACAGACGTGAGTGAGAAAAGAGACGGTTCTGTGAGGCGGTAGACGTGGTTAAGAGAGCTATGACTCAGTCGCGAAAGATCCCCACTGTCAAAGGGCAGTGGCTGGCGCTGTGTTGTGATGAAGAAGAGGGACAATTTTCACTTTCGTTAAGAGTGGTGGGGGGGGAGGCGTTGTCTGGGGAGGGAAGGCGTTGGCTTGGGAAGGAGGCGTTTGTTCTGTATGCAGGATGCCGTTGTCTGTGCATGAAGGGAGGCGTTGTCTGTGGGAAGGGAGGCGGGTGTCGAGGTTGGGAGGCATTGCTGTTGAGGAAGGGTCTGGTTAGGGCTTTGTTTGATGACGGCGACTCCTTCTTATCAAGAGGGTGTTCGTGGGAAGGAGGCTTCTAACCGTGATGGTCCCGGAGTGTGGGGGAAAGAGAGCCGTGGACGCGCTATCTGGTAACAGGATGGGTATATTGGTTGCTGTTAGGCGGTGAGGCGGGGAGGCAAGAGCACTCAACGGTAGGGCTGTTAGAGCGGTGGCAGCGCTGCGCAGCTGCTGCGTTGTTGGCGTGCGCCAGGCGCGCAGAGGCACGCGCCTACCAGCTGCGCTCGGCCACCACGTTCGCGCGCAGAGGCAGAGTTGGGAAGGAGTGTGGGGAGGGGTTAGTGTGGGAAGGGGGTGTGGGGAGGAGTGTTGGGGAAGGAGTGTGGGGAGGGAAGTTTGAGGAAGGGCGTGTTGGGGGAAGGAGTGTGGCGGAGGTTGTGGGGTAAGGAGTGTGGGAGGGTGTGGGGAAGGGAGTTGTAGGGAGAGTGTGGGGAAGAGAGTGTGGGAAGAGAGTGTGGCGGAAGAGGAGTGTGTGAGAGGTGATGTGGGAAGAACGTTTGGGAAGAGAGTATTGTGAGAGGTGTGGAGGGGTGTGGGTGGTGTGGGGAGAGGTGTGGGGAAGAGAGTGTGGGGGAAGGATGTGGGACTGGGCAGGGCTATACGCTTGTTGGAGGCGGTGGCTGGCGCTGCGCAGCTGCTGGTTGGTTGGCGTTGCGCCAGGCGCGCAAGATGCACGCGCTCCAGTGCGCTCGCCACCTCCGCTCGCAGCGCGAGGAGTGTGGGGATGGAGTGTGGGGGGATGTGGATGGAGTTGGTGGGAAAGTGTGCGGGGGAGGCATCCCGCGTTAGGTGCGGCCGCGTGTGCCGCTGCTGTGTTGGCGTGGCCGGGCGCGGCAGCGCTCAGGTGTGTGGGGCAGAGTCGGCTTAGGGAGCCGTGTGGGGAAGAGAGTGTGGGAAGAGATGTGTGGGGGTGTTAGGAACCGCGGTTGGGAAGCGAGTGTGGAGAGAGATGTGGGGGAAGTGGGGATTGTATGGTGGGGAAAGGAGTGTGGGAGAAGGTAGAGGGAGGTACTCACCGCTGTTGGGCGTGGCTGGCGCCTGCCGCAGCTGCTGTTGTTGGCGTTGCGCCGAGCGCGCGCCAGGACCACGCGGCTCCAGTGGCGCTCCACGCCCGCCTCGGCGCGACAGTCGACGCGCGCAGGGCTGCCCTGAAGGCGGGCTCCGCACGAGCGCATGCCCAGGAGGTCGTGTGCAGCCCGCGCTCGTCACGGTGTGCTGCCGGCGCGGCGCTGGTCCTGCAGCCAGGCCGCCCTGCGCAAGCAGCCGACGCGCGGCGAATGTTGCTTTTCGAAAGAGAATTACCGGCTCATTGGATAGTTCATAGTGGTGTTAGTAGGAAACCTTCGAGAGGACGTTTACTCTTTATTAGGAGATAGTTTCTTTGTGTTTTCAGGGAACGACCGCTAAACAAACGCTAGTAGAATATTTTCCACGTTCAAAATTTAAAATTCAAAAATCCGTTAGAACGTGTGTGGAAGTAGCTGTTGAAATTTCAATGCTCCAGATTGTGGTATGGGCCGCGTGTTCCCAAATTAGCTTGTTATATCTCTCAATGATATTTGTTAACCATGTTTAAAAATTGCACTTTTAAATTGACATACGTTTTCCGGAATTATATAGTTTCTTACCATCTTTCTAATTAAAGTAAAAACATCGGATCTGCAAGATTCGAGAAGAATACCTATACCTGTATTGTTATGTTCCGTTGTAAAGACGTATTAAGAAAAGGTGCCTGTCGAGGGGTGACCGGTGTAGTTTACGTATCTATGGAAGAAGTTGTTCATCAAAAATAAAGGTAAACGTAGCATTTTTTCGACGAGAACGCTCGTAATTTCTGAAAATAAATATTTTTTTTTGCTATTGCTTATAATTTGTTTGGGACAAAAAGCCACGCGTGGTGAAATTTCTTATTAACGCAAAAAACAACATATTGGTGCTTGAATAAATTCGTTTTTAAAAGTAATTTTCAAAGTAACACAATGTGTACTTGGAAAATAAAATCGATTTCAAAGTCATTGTCAAGTTTTTTTGCGTCTGTTGATCTGTCGTGATCCCAAACTTAATTATAGAGAGGTTTATTCATTCCTCAGAATATTTTTTGATTAATATTTATATCTCAGTAATTTTTGTGAATTGAATTAGACTGTATCTGTTTTTCTTGTACTTACACATGTTTGACGCAAAAGATCAAAGAAAGGTCTGAAGATATGCTATAAGAATGAAAATGAAGTTTACACCCGATTTTCTTCCTGAATCTGGAAGAAAAAAAAAATATTTGCATTGTGTTTGTTATAATATTAATTTAGTATTTGGTAATATGGATTAACGTTCTATAGCGTCAGATAAGGTTAGAGATTTGATTCCACCACACTGAATAACCCTATTTAATAACTTTTCACCTGGATGCAGGAAACGTGTAAACGCGGGCGGCATCGGGGATGAGCGAGGTTGGAAATTTTGGCTGTGTAGGAAGCGGTGACCGAAACCTACAGTTGAAGCGCGACCGACAAAGTTCTCGATGAGCATACACCCAGAGGGAGCTCGGAAGGCTACTTTGTCCCATGCTGGGGCCGGACAGGGTCCAGAGCTGCAAAGTACGTGCGGGCCTCTTCCGTTGCAGGCTAGCTCGGAGAGCGGCGCTGGTGTTGATGGGCTTTTTACTTTCGGTCGCTACTAGTAAGATAGGAAAAGTATGTAATGTGAGCCGGAAACGGTGAATTTTCGGCAGAAACTCTTATTCTAGAAAGCCTGGTACTAAAAGTGGATGATAAATCTAGGTTGTAAGATTTAGAAACAATCTTCAACAGTGTTAGCCAAGAATACATGTTTTTATGGTCTTGATACCAAAAATCGAATTGAAGTAAAAACGCCTTCTGTCCGCCGGTCTGAGACACACTGTGTAAGGCCTAAACGTTTAGCCGATTTTTTCCAAAAACTTGATGATTCCCGAATCGATCTGGTTTGATGTCGCGAGCGCCTTAAATTGAAAAGATTTTTGGTTTGGGGTACATTAAATGTATCCATGTGAACATTTTCAAAATTTCAATTAAATTGCTATATGTTTTTTGATAAATTGTTGCTTGAGATGATAAAGGACGTTTAAGAAAATTTAGTGGAAGATCTCACTTCGTTGAACTTAAATTGCAAAAATTGCCAATTTTCGCGGTCGTTACTATGGCTACAATTTTGAAGATTAAAGATTTCTTCCCTTAGCTATATTGTTGATTAAATATAGGTTTTGAAATAAGGTCAGGTATAATTTTTTTGAAGTTTGAGTGTTTCGCGTTAATTTTGCGTGAAATATCGCGGTGAGAAATTCGTGTTATTGTTTAGACATCCTGTTCTTACTCCTTTGAAATTATTTTCAGATTACATATATGGACCTGTTGGGTTCCTTTATTTACTATTTATGTTAAAATGAAGTCAATTTATAAATGTGATCCATTTTTTGCCACGGTTATTGAATCTGTTTTCCTTGTTTAGTTATTTACTTTGTGTATGTTGTTGATCTCTCGTTTTTCCATTTAAACATCCCAGTAAGCCCAGTTTTACGCTGTCCTGAGTTAAACATGTAAATAACTGGAAGTTCATCTACGTTCAATTAATAGATTTATTCAGATAGCCGGCTTTCGTCGCTTTGCCGTCGTCATCAGTCTCGACTAGTGTGATGAAGGTCGGAGGCACTGCTAGTAAGTTGTTTAGTAGTCGGAAGGATCTAGGAAGATGAGAATATGACTTTCATATTTCTCCATTGTAAACAGATACAACCAATACCTCCATAACTTCTCTCATTTACTGAAGGATAAATTCAAACAATAAATTAGTTTTTCGGGTGTTAATAAAAAAGTGAAAATAAAATTTAATAACTGTGCTTTCAATATGAAATCGCTATGTCCTTGTCAATGTTTAAACCTTCTATGCGGAATACCAGCTCTTTGAGCGAAATATGAATTTATTTTGCTAGTACGAACGGTTGGTCACAAGGTCAATAGTCGAAGTGTGCAATCCTGCGAGCAGAGAGACAAAATTTTATTTCGTGAGGCGTAACACGCTTTTTAGAAACCTTTCTGCTTTTATTAAAGTTAGTCCTAGTTATTTATTGTGTAACTGTAAAAGTTTCAGTCGTAGCCGCGCGATCACACCCGCAGAATGGTCTACTTTTAGCCCAAGTGGACTTTGCTGTTTGTTGGCGTGCGCCAGGCGCGCAGAGGCCACGCGCTCCCAGCTGTGGGGAAGAGAGTGTGGGGAAGAGAGTGTAGGAAGAGAGTGTGGGGAAGAGAGTGGGGAAGAGAGTGTGGGGAAGAGAGTGTGGGGAAGGGTGTGTGGGAAAGAGAGTGTGGGGAAGAGAGTGGGGAAGAGAGTGTGGGGAACGGTGCGTGGGAAAGAGAGTGTGGGGAAGAGAGTGTAGGGAAGAGAGTGTAGGGAAGGGAGGGCTACTCACCGCTGTTGAGCCGGTGGCTGGCGCTGCGCAGCTGCTGGTTGTTGGCGTGCGCCAGGCGCGCAGAGACCACGCGCTCCCAGCTGCGCTCGCCCACCGCCGCCTCGCAGCGCAGCTCGACGCGCGCAGGGCTGCCCTGGAAGAAGCGGCGCTCCGCCACGAAGCGCAATCCCAGGGAGCTCGTGTGCAGCCCGCGCTCGTCCACGGTGTGCGTGCGCGGCGCGCGCGTCTGCAGCCAGGCCGCCACCTGCGAAGCAACGACGCGAGCGAATGTTAGCCTTTTCGAAAGAGAAATACGCTCATTGGATGAGGTCATAGTGGCGTTCAAGTAGGGAAAACCTTTCGGAGGGCGTTTACTTCTTTATTAGAGAAAATAGTTTCTTTGTGTTTTCCAGGAGAAGCGACGCTAAACCAAACGCTAGATAAGAATATATTTCACGTTCAAAATTAAAACTTCACAAAATCCGTTAGAAACAGTGGAACGTAGCCTTTAAAATTTCATAACATCCATGATTGTCGTATGGGGCAGTTTTCCAAAATTAGCTTGTTATATCTCCAAGATTATTTGTTACACGTGTTTAAAAATTGCACTTTAAATTGAATGAGTTTTCCAATAATAATAGTTTCTTACCATCCTTTTCAAATTAAAGTAAAAACATCGGACCAGAGATTTCAAAGATACCTGAACCTGTATTGTATTATCAGTAAAGACGTATTAAGAAAAGCCCGTCCGAGAGGGGACAGTGTAGTTTACTATCTAGGAAGAAGTTTGTTCATCAAAAATAAAGGTTAAACGTAGCATTTTTTTCGACGAAATCGCTCGTAAATTTCCGAAAATAAATAATTTTTTTTGTCTATTGTTATAATTTGTTTGGGCAAAAAAGCCACGGGTGAAATTTCTTATTAACGCAAAAAACAACCATATTGGTGTTGAATAAATCTTGTTATAAAAGTCAAATTTTCAAAGTACACAACTTGTACTGAAAAATAAAATCGACTTTCAAAGTCATTGTCAAAGTTTTTTTGGTCAGTTGATCGTGATCCAACACTTAAACATTTAAGAATGGGTTTTATATTTTCAGAAATATTTTTATGATTAAAATATTTATATCTCAGTAATTTTGTGATTGAAATTAGACCTGTATCTGTTTTTCTTGATACTACACATATTTGACGCAAAAGAGTCCAAGAAAAGGCTGAGAGAGGCAAAGAGAAAAACCTGAAGTTTAACACACTCCGATTTCTTCCTGAATCCTGGAAGAAAAAAAATAATTGCATTGGTGTTTGTTATAATTATTATTTAGTATTTTGGTAATAATGGATTAAACGTTCTATAGCGTCAATAAGGTAGAGACTTTGATTCCACCCACCCTGAATAACCCTGAATAACTTTCACCTGGATGAGGCAACGTGTAAACGCCAGGGGATGAAGCGGAGGTGGGAAATTTGCGTGTGTAAGGAAGCGGTGACCGAACCTCGAGTTTGAAGTCGACGACAAAGTTCCTCGAATGGAGATTACAACCCAGAGGAGCTCCGGAAGGGATTACTTGTGTCTACATGCCCTGGGGCGGACACGGGAGTCAAGAAGCTGCAGAAGCTACGTGCGGGGCCTCTTCGGTGGCAGGCCTAGCTCGCGAGAGCGGCGCTGTGTTCGAGTGGCTTTTACTTTCTCGCTACTGAGTAGAGAGAAAGTTATGTAATGCTGAGCGAAAACACGGTGAATTTTCGGCAGAAAAACTCTTATTGCTGAGCCCTGGTAACTAAAAAGTGGATAAATCTAGTTGCTAAATTTAGAAAACAAATCTTCAAACACGTGGTATAGCAAGAATACATGTTTTCTGGGTCCTTGATACCAAAAAATCGAATAAAAGTAAAACGCCTCTGTCCGTCCGTCTGAGAACAACTGTAACGGCTAAACCGTTTAGCCGATTTTTTCCAAACTTGATATTCCCGAATCGATCTGGTTGATGTCGCGACGCCTTGAATTTGAAACAGATATTTTGGTTTTGGGGGATACTTAACATGGTATCCCTGGAACATTTTCAAAATTTTCAAAACATTGCTATATGATTTTTGATTAAAATTTGTTGTTGAATAGAGTAAAGGACGTTTAAGAAAATAGTGGAGATCTCACTTTCGTTGAAAACTTAAAATTGCAAAAATTCCAATTTTTTCGGCGTTCTACTATGGCTACAATTTTGAAGATAAAGATTTCTTCCCTTAATAATATCTGTTGATTAAATATAGGTTTTGAAATAAGGTCAGGTATAATTTTGTGAAGATTTGAGTAGTTTTCGCGTAATTTTGCGTGAAAATACGGGCGAGAAAATACGTGTTGTTTTAGCACCATTAGTTCTACTCCTTTGAAATTATTTTCCAGATTACAATAATATGGAATCTGTTGGGCTTCCTTTATTTATATTTATGTAAAATATGAATCAAATTTATAAATGTTACCATTTTTTCACGGTTAATTGAATTGTATTTCCCTTGTTAGTTATTTACTTTTGTATGGTTGTTATTTCAGTCGTTATTTCCATTAAAACAATCCCAGTAAAGCAGTTACGCTGTCCTGAGTAAACAATGGTAAAATAACTGAAGTCATCTACGTCAACTTAATAGATTTATTCAGATAGCCGGCTTTCGTCGGCTTTGCCGTCATCATCAGTCTCGCTATAGGTGATGAAAGTCGAGAGGCACTGTCTAGTAAGTTGTCTAGTAGTCGGAAGGCATCTAGGAAGATGAAGAATATGACTTCAATTATTTCTCCATTTAAATACAACAACAATACCTCATCAACATTCCCTCAATTTACTGAAGAAATAAATATCAAAACAAATAAAAATATAGTTTTTGGTGTTAATAAACATAAGTGAAAATACAATTAATAACTGTCGCTTTGCAATAGAAATCGACTATGTCCTTGTCAATGTCTTAAAACCTTCTATGCGGAATACCAGCTTCTATAATGAGCGGAAAATATGAACATTTTATTTTGCTAGTACGAAAGGTTGGGTCACGAGTCAATAAGTCGAATGTTGCAATCCTGCGAGCGAAAAAAAAAACACTTTTATTTTCGTGGGTCGTACACACTTTTAGAAAACCTTTCTGACTTTTATTAAAAGTAAAGTACACTAATTATTTAATTGTGTAACATGTTAAAGTCAGTAGTAGCCGACGCGATCACACCCAGCTAGAATGTCTCACTTTTAGCACAAATGAACTTTGCTGATTATTTTATCACAGTATACGTATTTATACAGTAGCACAGCTCACAGTAGCACAGTATTTATACTGTACACAATTAAAACAACTTAAATGAGTGTTCTTTCCTTCATCATTGCTGAATTTAATTGCAGAACAGTGCATTCCTTTTGACACATGCATTGTTAATGTTAACTAGGAAAGAATAAGATCCCAAGATATGCAAGCATCTTAATTTACTTCTGGAAAGCACTTGAGATGTTTTACTTGTGATACTTCCTAAATGTGGAATTCGTCTTCTGCTCTTTGGAGGTATCCTACAACTGCTACTACAGACAACAGCTTTTTTCAATTTATCTCTACTTGTATCTGCTCTTATTCTTTATTTTGTGAGATTTTCTACACTAATTGCGACAAATGTGAAGTGAATCTAATCAGTACAGTATAGAAATTTGAAATTTATGACAGTATAAATAATAATACTTACTGATACTGTGGTCTTCGTGAAATCTCCATCAGCCGCCAAAGGCATCTGATCCAAAAGCCATTGCTCGGCCTGTGAGAAAACCATAGGATTACTATAAAATCAAAAACATAAATATTACAATATTACTAGACGGTATTGTGTAATATTAATGTTAACACTATACAATATGGAGAATTCTTAAATGAGACATCATGACAGGTCATGAAGCTTTAATAATAAGGTCATAAAAGACTGAGCAAATTTATTACGGTTGCGTAGGCTTCCGCGGCCGGAGTTTATGTTGTCTAGGCTATCCGGGACGAGACGCGTCACTGACATGATGGCTAACGTTTCGGCCAGTGTATTGTGACCTTCTTCAGAGTGTCCTGCTGTACGCTCCATGTCAGTGACGGGGCTCGTCCCGGATAGCCTACACAACAAAATTATTACGATTTAAGCTAAGCTTGAATTATTATGCTAAGATAATTTTAATTAATAAAGTTGTTACCGTCAATCGAAATAGAACAGACGTCGGCGGGGATAACAGCACTGCCCTACAGTTCTGCATTCAACTCCCGCCAAAGCCAAAGCCAAAATTGCGTTTTCCAAGTGATTCTGGTGTGAGGGGAAAGCAAACCATCGAGCACCGCATTATATCATCGAAGTCATCGTTTATAATTTACGGCTGACTGGCGAAAATATGTACAATTTTTGTCATATCTGATTGTAAACAACCTGTCACAAATATTTCATTCGAAAAATAATACATGATCGGAAAGAGGAAAAAAATCCTGAAACACAGAAGAACGTAAGTTAATGGAATTAGTTCTAATTTGTTAATTTAAGAGCAATGATACCATTAGATTCTCACTCAAGACAGCTACATAAGAAGTTTTTATATGATATTAATGAAATTTGCGTTTGATGAAACGCACGAGCTTTCAATAGTCTGTTATTTTATCGTTGTCTATAATGAAATATATTTTTTTGTTTTTGTGTATGTGATGAAAGAGTGGCGGAAAATTCATAGGCTACTAAAGATAATAGTTTTGCAGTCAGTAAGAATCATGTAACATGTAAGAATGATGTAATCATGTAACTGAGAATAAATGTAACTTCAAATTAACTTCTCCCCATAGCACGTCACACGCAGCTTTTACTTGTTTTGACGTAAATAAATAAATAATTGAGCATATCTCCTACGTGTAAATTCATGTTGTTGTTTTTTTGGGAAAACTAAGAGAACATTTTAGATTTAATGGTCAATTTGAAACTGAGCGGGCTATTTGAAACTGATTTGTTCTTTGTCAATATTTTACGTCATTTTCAGATAAGTATTTTAGATACATTCTCTCATCCTAAAATTATAGGTCTACATATTTATACGAAATTATATCTTGTTAAAACTATTTAAGTAAACTTAAAAGCATATTTTATTGTAAAGCTTATAAAAAAACTGTGTACTGCTAAAATTTTTAATTCCCGCTCGAACAAACTACATGTTATATTTACATTTACATTCTCAATCGTTATTTTTCTTTTTATAAACGTGAGAAGAGAAAATAAGGTCATAGTTCCCTCTGTATTTAATTTCTTTCGCTATTTGTCGTGCGCCGAAAATAAATTAGAAAGGGAGTTTTTTAAACATATAAAAACTACCCAAAATTGTACGTCAGAAGTTGGTTTTAGGTATTAAGAGATTTGATTACTTCCAAGTCTTCACTTCAGGATTTACCTCTCTTGACTCTACTAAACGTACTGGGGTTGCCGTGAACAGTGAAGGTTTGGCACATTGTGTGAAAAATACAAATATACTGTAGTGCCTCAGAATGGCGCTTGATGTAATAAAACAAGACATTAACAATCGTAAATGCATTCATTTCCATCACCTGGAAATCGAGCTCAGTGAAAATGCAGCCGGAGCAAACGACAGGAGGCCACGGAGACGGCAGGAAAAGGCTTTCGCGGTCGCGTCGGCTCGAGCGGCACACGCCGGCGGCCAATTACCCTCGCGGGGCGATTATTCCACGGGGCGGCCGCGCGAAGTGTTAAAACAAAGACACCGCCTCCGGGAACAAGGGGGTGGGTCTCTGGAAAACTCCTGCGGGCATATCGATTCCGCGAGCTCGGTACCCGCGGCCGGCGGATCGAGGCGCACACGGGGCCCTCTACATGGAAGTGCACTCAACGCCCCACGCCCCTCACACACAACACCTCTCCGCGCAGCGCCTAATAGCAGGCCTTGGAATAATGCGGGAGGGGCGTCCCCGAGCGGGGAAAATAAAAGAACGTCTGGCCGACGGCCGGCCGGGCGGCCGGGGCCTCGGGCGGGCCGGGAGACGGAGGTGCGGCCGTGGATCGCCACGCCGGGGCAGGGGGCCTTGTCTGGAGCTGACAGCGCGCGCGGGCGACATCTGGCGGGTAGTAATGGAAGCGTCGCGAAGTGCGGGGGCGTGGGAGACAGGCGGTGGCGGGTGACTCGAGCCATTCAGCCGGAAAGAGCTCCCGCGCCGTTTGCAGATAGCGCGGGGGCGGCACGAGATTGCGTAATTGAAAGCGGACATTGAGTGAGGTTGCTCTGACTTGGTGTGACGTTTCCAAAGCGAAACGGGTTTTAAAAAATATGAATTTCTGGATGAAATGTTAGAAAGGAGAAAACAGTGGAGTGAAAAATAGTCGCTCGACGTCTTTTGGGAGTTGCGCGTAACTGGAAAGTAGGCAAACAGGGGAGTTGGTTTATGGCTTGGCGTTTTAGGGCTTATCTTAACTTCGAATGTGTTATATATCAGCAAAAACAATTATAAGTTTGTAACATAAAAAGGCATGTGATTTAGTAGACAAGCTCAACTTTGTGAAACTTTTGAAGACACTCGACATGCGCTAACAAGCATCCAAGAAAGTAATAATCAGGAAGGAAGGCAACGCCACGCAGAGTTTTTAAACATCGATTTGGAATATTATTTTGTTTTGAAATTAAGAATTTCTACTTACATTAAAGTACTAGAAAGAATACGTTATTTTAATAGGATCTTATTTCAGTTTGTGCATTTTTAGAGAAGAAATCTGACAAATATTTAACCTTAATCTGATAAATGAAATATTTAAGGATTTGTATCAATATTATAATAAACGTCAAAAAATTATAAAATTAAGAAAACATAATTTGTAATATTTCACAATTAAGTAACGAAAAAAAATTAACGAAGAAAACAACGAAACACAATTAAAAGTTTGAAACGAATGTATTACGTGTGTGTGTGTATGAATCAGTGAAGAAAAACTGATATATTTAGTTTACGATGAATGACACCCAAAAAAGCATGAGAGGCTAAGAAAGTGTTTTTAGTTGTCTATTTTTTCAAGTACTGGCTCAAGTCAACTTCTGCGTGAATGACTCCCATCTCAATCAGGTTTTCGTCCAGTTTCCCTGATCCTTGAGCAAACGGTGAGATGGCCCCCTTGGTTTGTTTTTTACACAAATGTAACTTCAATTTAACTTCTCCCCATTGCACGTCACACACATTATTAACTGTTTTGACGTAAATAAATAAAGAAGTACATTTATGCAAACGTATAGTTGAATAAGAAAGAAGTAGTAATTTTTAATCTAGTACAATGATAAAAATTAGACTCACATAAAAAACGTAGAATATTAGTCTTTACAACATTAAAAATCGTATGAATCAGTTTGTCTTATCCATTTATTTTAAGAAATATTTTATAGGGATACATCTGCCATGTCACAGCTGGAATCCAATTACATGGCGAAACAGCTCTTCCCCATTTCAGGATACCGAAAGTTGTGTTAAATACGAGAGACAAAGATGAGAAAATAAAAATCGCTGTCTTACAAGTTAGATTGATTGATTAGAGATTTCGGACACGTCAACGGCTGAGGTCATTACTCCCGTAAGTGCAGTGTATAATCTTCCTCGAGAGGTGACGGTGATCTTCCCCCGCTGGATGGTGAAATACTACCGTTGGATAACGAGGTTTTCCTCTACCAGATATCTTTCACCAGCCTACCGTCCCAGCTGGGACAAGCTCTGACCGGCCTCTCGGCATGTGTTAGTGTAGTGCACGTAAGTGTAAGTGTGTGTAAGTAAGGGGTGAGGATTTGACCAGGAAGAGGAAGGAAAGATCACGCGCGGTCGTTGGCCCGTTTTTTTCGGGCACCACTCGCCTGGTGTTGATCGGAGAAACCACGGAAAACTACGTTTCGGAGCAGCAAGTCTCCAGAATTCTCCTCCAACTGAATTCGACCTACTAGCTGGGACGGCGCTGGCGACCACAGTCTGCTGCTGGAAACAAACTCCTCAAGTTTCGAACGATGACGTCTGCTCTAATACGTCCATACGTCATCGCTGGCCGGCGGTCCGCCTCTGCGGCGCGCCCCGCTGGCCGGAAGGAAAAAAAACATTTTTCCCGACGTGCGTCCTTCCGCCGCCCGGCCCGGGAGCGGCGATGTAACAAGGGTCGCCTCAGACAAAACCTCCTCTCAATGCTTCACGGAGAAGGAACGCGAGTTGAAAGATATACGGCAACTTCCTGCCGAGGAGGAGGGGAACATCTGAATATTTAGAGAGCTGGATTTTCGAACATGGCCAGCATTGAGGTTGAAGAATTTCAAAAGAAATCTTTTGACAATGTAAAAATGTGATGCGTATTATTTTATTTGAACTGGATTTTCGAACATGGCCAGCATTAAGGTTAATGAATTAAAAAAATCTATTGGCTATGTAGAAATTTGGATTATTATCGTAATATTTTATATACTGTACGTATTTGTTGGAACATGTTGCACATTTGTATCCTATTAAGATTCTCTCTAACACCTAATCTCAAATTATTGAAATGAATGATCAGTTATGTGAATAATACGCATACTTTTTGAGAAGTATTCTACATACATTTACTTCCATCAGATTTTTTGAAGTGTACCTACAACGCGTGTTATATATGTGTAGTATACGTAAGTCTGAAAAGTCCACGCAATTGCAATATTCCTAAACCAGACCTGAATAAGGAAAATGATGTGTGGAGATTGTATTATGTTAACTTATAGTTCACATAAAAGGGGAAATCAAGAG